AAGTTCTTTCTTATTTTTTGAAAACTCACACAGGGGCAATACTTATATTTTCTGTTTTGTTCCATTTTATTTTTACTATGTTTTCTGCTGATATGACCACACTTCCTATGTAATCATAACTAAAAGAGATAATATTTGTGATTTAAATAATGTAGATTAGGCACCCATGAAAGCTAGTTGAATTTGTGAACACAGTTAATGCATACCACATTTAACAACCCTTCATATTTTATATATGCATATGATACTATTTGTCTCTAAAAATTGTTTAAAATGATGCTTAAGAACATTGTCAATGTCATGCATATATGTATGTGTATATATATATATATATATATATATGTATATACATGGGTGTATATATAGAGAGAGAGAGAGAGAAAGAGAATGAAAACTGATATGAATGAATGCACATACACTTATACATGCCTCTAAAGGACAGTAAAGTACTAATATAATTTCCATGTACTTCTATTGTAATCCTACACTTTTAGCCAATTACATCTAACCAAAGACATAGTGCAAACTATCAATCAGTGAGAGTTGGTACCCCATGTTAAAATGATCTCTGTCAACAAGATCTTTACTACAATATCCTGAGAGTATACTGTGATATGTGTTACTTATTCCATTGTCAGCTCTCAGTCTGCCTTGTATCCCTAGCAACAATTTGATCCAGTTAGGCTGACGGAACACATTTTTTAAAAACCTAGAAAAAATATTATTATTTATTTTTAAATGCAAATATGATAGCATTTTCAAATAGAGAAAAAAAGCAAAGACTAAATTGGAGCTAAGTAGGATTCTGGAAAGACATTTGATATTATAAAGATAGCTATAAATTTCTCTAGAATCTCAAAGAAATGTCCAATACTCATGTGAATCACGGTCAGAATTAACTCTGGCTAATTCCCAAAAAACAATTTTTTAAAAGGGAGAGTTATGGCTGAGGTGAGTGGATTGCCTGAGTCCGCGGGTTCAAGACCTGCTTGGGCAGCAAGACCTCATCTCTACAATAAATCAAAAAATCAGCTGGGCGTGGTAGCGCATGCCTGTAATTCCAGCTGCTTGGAAGGCTGAGGCGGAAGGATCACCGGAGGCCAGCAGGTCGAGGCTGCGGTGGCCGGGAGCGGCCATTGCTCTCCAGTCTGGGCGACAGAGTGAGACTCCAACTCAAAAAAAAATTAAATTAAATTAAAATAAATAAATAAATAAAAAGGAGAGTTATTGTTGACATATGAGGTCAAAAACATAACCCTACAGAAGTCATGCATACATCTGGTTCTGGTAATTCTCCCACTGCTGATATCTGTTTCCTTTTGTGAAACAAGTTGCATATGAAAGAGTTCTAATAAAAAAGCTGAAACATTTTGTACTTAATATAGAGAGACCACTCACTACTCATAGACTATAAACCATGGCATCTGATTCTTGGACATGTACTGGGTAATATAAAAATTCTTCATAATTTATATCCCTCCATGTTAAACACACACACACACACACACACACACACACACCATATACCACATTGATCTTTGTTCTATAAATGGATGCTATTCCATAAAGCAACTTAGCAAATAAAAAAGTTATGAGCTGAAGTATCCACATGTTAATGAGTAAAAGGTAAGCTTCAATAGGTTTAACGAATAAAAAAAGTATAAGGATAAAGGGGGAATGGAATCAGAAATAATGTCAAAAGGGAATTACAATAATATAATTCAAAGTAATATTAAAATTCATACATTCCAATAGAAAAAAATAGAAATGAGCAGTTTCTCTGAAGAGATGAGAAAGTTAGCTAATTTTCTAAAAGCCCATGTTTCACAGGAAACAAGAAGAAAATAAAAACTGGAGACAGTATATAACAACTTAAGAAAGCAAGACTGGCAAAGAAAATGAAGTTTACAGAATTGGAAAGAAATGAAAAAATAACTACTGACTAAAGCTCATCAGAGAATACTTTTTTAAAAATGTGAACATACATAAAACAGCAGGACCAAATAAAATGGATCTGTGGGTGTTAAGGGAATTGACTAATGAACTTCCCAGCACAGTCACAATTGTAACTGTAATGTCATAGAGAACTACAGAAGCCAGAAAATTGCAAAACAACAAGAATTGTGGCATCATTTACTGAAAAAGGGGAAACATTGTTCTAGCATGCACCTTCCAGTAAGCTGAATGCCAGCACTTTAGAAAAACAAAATATACTATTAGAACTGCCCTAGTTGAGATCCTCTAGGGCAAGTACTTTAGTGTGCATGGTATATGACTCAATTTGTGGGGCAAGGAAAAACGTCATAAATAAGCTTTGGTGAAGAGTATAATTGACTCACAATCAACATAACCCACTTGGCAAATTCAGTTTTTTATCCCACAAAATCATACAGAGGATATATAATAGATATTAAAAGCCCCATTGTTAAACATGCTTGATATTCACAGTATAGAATAATTCGCCAAAGAGATTGATTTGCAGTAAAGAGAGATAGAGGAAATGAGATTTAATTTTATTTTTCCACAGAGTTCCCTTGGGCTTAGATACTAGGCAGCACTGAGTTTGAGTTCCAACTCTGTCAATTTATTTTTTGACTATAAAAAATTATCAAATCTCTCTGAGTCATAGAGTGTTCATCTTAAAAAGTCTAACAATAAAGATTATTTATGTGTTTATCTGTGATATTTTTATAAAATAAATAGGGCAGCTGCTGTGAAAATTAAAATAGATAACATGAGAAAACAAGCTGATTATATAAAACAGAACCTGAAAAAATAGCAGAGATTTAACAACATTTAGTTCCACTCCCTCTCTCCATCTCTAACACACATCCTTCAACTCTCTTTAGCATAGTAGTGAAGTTTTGAAGATAACTAGGACAGAGATACCTAGTTTTTTGTTTCATATTGATTAAATTGAACTAGAGGTAAGAATGCCTACAGTTAGTCAGCCTCTGAGAGTGAGTTCCCTAGTGGCTGCACTTGGTGGCCAACTCCCAGACTAGGAAAGTTTACCCACCAACCACACCAGAAAAGTTCACCTGCCAACTGCACTCACCTAGTGCCCACCGGTGATGCTTGGTAACCAATCCCTAGACCAAGAAAGGTCACTTCTTGGCCTCACTTGCTCCAAGGGCAGGTCCTGCCACAGCAGGAACTCTGCTGCTTTTAAGTTCTGAGCTCAGTCTATGGCAAGAGGGAGAGTTGAGGGGGCACCTGGCAACCCTGTCTCCCAGTGAGAGTACTTCTGTATTGTAGACAGTGCTGCTACTCCAGCAGTGCTGCCACAGTTGCCAGAAGGCCTATCTCTCCTCCTGATCCCCACATAGAGCTTGCAACTGGGAATCAGAAAGCAGTCTGGCCAGCCCTGTCCATCAAAAATCACTGTGAGTTCTGAGTACTGCCAAGCAGGAGAAAAGGATGTGGAGTAGCAGCTCCTCTCTCCCTGTGTCAACTCTGAATGGCAGAAAAGGCCCTAGGGCAGCTAGAACATATCTAATTACAAAGCAACAAAATAAAAAATAATAATAATAATAAAAGAAGGGTTGGTTCTCACAGATGAGAAATAACCAAAAACAAACAAACAAACAAACAATAATTTCCAAAACCGTAAAGTGGCATCACCCACAAAAGCACCTCTCAGACCCCAAACAATGAATTCCAATCCAAATGACCTGAGCCTGATGACAGACAAAGAATTCAGATGGATGGCAGAAAGAAGAAACAAAAAATTCCAGAAATTGGAAGCAAAGATTGCCTAGTCAACAAAGGCAGTGCAGAAAATAAAAGTTAAGTTGAGCTGGGTTCAGTGGCTCAACCTGTAATCCCAGCACTTTGGGAGACTGAGGTAAGTGGATTGCCTGAGCCCGTGGGTTCAAGACCCACCTGGGCAACTTGGCAAGACTCGTCTCTACAATAAATCAGAAATTAACTGGGCATGGTAGTGCATGCCTGTAGTTCCAGCTACTTGGAATGCTGAGGCAGAAGGATCACCAGAGCCCAGCAGGTCAAGGCTGCGGTAGCCAGGAACATGACACTGCACTCAAGTCTGGGTGACAGAGTAAGACTCCAACTCAAAAAAAAAAAAAAAAAAGATGTTAAAAAGAAATAGTACTTGAGGAAATTCAGCTTTAAGCACATGTAATGCAACTCAAGAGAAGATAAAAGGAAACAAAATAAGTGTGACTGACAAGCACCCTAGCCTGGGATCAGCACCATTATGGAAAGTCCTTCTGAGAATTCTGCAGAAAGCTCATCAGAACATGCATACAAAGAAATGACCTAAGACTGGGGAAGAACCACCTGGAAAAATCACAGACAACAGTGTCCAGGCACTCAGAGTCAGCCTGGAAAACTCTTGGTCCACAAGTACTAGAACTCATGTTGTGGGGATGACCAGCCTTAGCCTGAGCAGTGCTGTGGACCATCAAACACATTGTGAAAGCCATACCCAAGGGTCACATGGTTTCCAAGTAGTCTGGCTGTAGTCCAAAACAAAGATTGAGAGGACTGATAGGAATACAAAGACATCTAGCACACAACATAGCAAATAAATGATGCCTGGCATGCAGTCTGACCAACAGGTATGCAACAGGCAGGAAAACCCACAGTGAGGAGAAAAATCAGTCAGCTACAAACAAGTAAAAACGGTCAGAGATGTTAGAACTAGCAGAAAAGGACATCAAAACAGTCACTGCAACTGTATTCTATGTGTGCAACAGTTAAGTAGACTTGGGAAAGATTTTGAGAAGAGTCTTAAATAGAACTTCTGGAGAAATGAAGACCCCAGTGTCTATACTGCAGTGAATTCTCCACCACTTCTGGTGCTCCATAACTTCTACCTAGGGCTTTCTTTACCATGTGCCCAGAATGAAGCTCCCTCAGGTTTCAGACAAAGAGAATCACGAGTACTTGGGTTCATAGCCTTACCCAGGGCTCATGGCTAACACAGTCTGACTCAGTCTCTCATTCATACATTTTCACGCCATAAGCAGTGGTGCCTAACCCCAGGGCACGCCACCCATACCTTCTGACATGGTAAGCTCACTTGGCGGCGGCTGTGCGACTCCGGATGCAATAGAGTCAGGCCAAAACCTCTGGACTGGCCTGTTCTGAGCAGTTTTTTTCTTTGTTTTGGGGGTCTCTGAACAACTGGAATCCAACATCGGCTGAAGAATTCGTCTTCTAGCATTGATGAACCTGAGAGTCAACAAAGGGAAGCTTATGTCAAAACAGCCTTTATAAAGACCTGGCACAGGATCAACAAATATTTCTAGATAAACATGCTGCTCTATGAACCGTGCTAAAAAAGAATAATTCACATTCTCTCATGTAAAAACACTTAAGAGGAATCAAACAGCTATTCTAAATGACCTAAATTATTATCTAAATGTCCAGAAAAGCAGGGCCTGATGTTTTAAAAATTATTAATTTAAATAAAGACCAACTTACCCATGGCACCTTTTTTTCCCTTCAATTGATTTATTTCATGTTGGTGAATTAGTTTGTTTTTTTTAAAGTCAAGGTCTCACTCTGTCACCCAGGCTGGAGTGCAGAGGCTCATCCATGGCTCACCGCAGCCTCAACCACCTGAGCTCAGGAAATCCTTCTACCTCAGCCTCCTGAGTAGCTGACACTACAGGTATACACCACCACAGCTGGCTAATTTTTTTTTATTTTTGTAGAGACAAAAATCTCATTGTGTTGCTAGAATGGTCTCAAACTCCTGGGCTCCAGCAATCCTCCTGCCTCAACCTCCCAAAGTGCTAGGATTATAGGCATGAGCCACTGTGTCTGGTCTGAATTAGATATTTATAATAACACTGATGAAGCCGGGCTCGGTGGCTCAGCCTGTAATTCCGTGCCTTTGGGAGGCTGAGGTGAGTGGGTTCGAGACCCACCTGAGCAGCGAGACCTCATCTCTACAATAAATCAAAAAATCAGCCGGGCGTGGTAGCGCATGCCTGTAATTCCGGCTACTCGGAAGACTGAGGCAGAAGG